AGTTATACCTAAAATATTGCTGGTGGGTGTGAGATGAAGGGTAACAGGGAGTCATGGAAACTACCACCATCACAGAATGCATGGCTATCCGCAGGTAATCCATGGTACAGCCTAACTCTGCCCACTTTTTTCTTTTTTTTGTCTTTCAATTAAATCTATCTGACTTGAATAACTTCCTATTCTGTATCAGTGCAATGACTTATTCTCCTTAAAGTGTAGGATACTGTGCTTACACTTACTGAGTGCTTGGGAGGGGATGTCCTGGTTGTAGGAGATTTTTTTTTTTTCCTTCAGATAATTTGATTTTGGGTGATATTTTATGCTAATCTTGAAAATGTTTGTCTCTCAGTATTTCATACATTGCCTCTCTCATCTCACTGAAATGAATTCTGAATACTAGATTTTAGACATATCCCAGAAAAAAAAGTCACTCGAGGTGCATCTTTTGAATTTGACAGTATGTTAATACTATACTTCAGTATGATTTAACATTTGAGTCTTAATTTTTCCAGCCAATCTGAAAATATTATTGTAGTCAGTACATTTCGTATTTTTCGTTTTTTTCAGAGCTTGTGTTGTTCTTCTCATACTGAAGTTATTTGTTTTGGACATCTGTTCACTATTAAAGGTCTCCAATGGAGAGAAATTCTTGGTTTGATGGCATTAGCTTTATTACTGAGAGTTTTTCTGTGATCTTTTCATGCCACGAGTAGACAGCTTGTTTGCTTTAACCTTCTAGCTGACTTGCTGATTACAGCCAGCTTTATATGTCTGATCTTACCACAAGAGTCCCTCTATATCGTCGTGTCATGTTCTGAGGCCATTTGTTCTTCAGATGCCAAGAACACAATGGACTGAGGGCCTTATTAAAGGTTTTGTCAAATTTTAGTTTGTTTTTCTTCTTTTTTGAAATAAAAATACAAGCTGATCTCAATACCTTGATCTTGTTCTATACTATGGAGTCCCCTCATCGCCAGCAGATCACAGAACAGATGACACGAGATATTCTTTGGGCTTCTTGCCAACCAGACATTACCTGCACTTCCAGTCATCATATTGATTCTGACCTGAGCCCTGGGCAGGGCTTTGGGCTGCTGGTTTTTGTTTGTTTTTGGTTTTTTTTCTGGCTTGAAGCTCTCCAGAAAGGCCATTTTTTTGGAGGAGAATGAGCCCTCCATTCCTTTAAAGACTCTGCTTCAAGCACTTCTCTCCAAAAGAACTGGGTTTGCACGGGCTACAGTGTCTTTTGGTTACATAAGGAATAAAAATTCTGCAAGCAGTTGTTTTGAACTCCTGTAAATATGTCAAAAATCGTCCTGTGTACCTGTATAGGTGCTAGTTTGTTTTTCTGCAAGAAAATAACAGTGCAGGACTCTCTATCAACCGTTGCTTTCCATTTTAATCATTTTCACTTTTAACAATGAGATCATATGGAGTTATGGTTAAAAGTAAAAAGCATACAAGTAAACATTTATAAACATTTTTCAGTGCTTTTTTCTTTTTTAATTTAATAGCATAAATTAGAGTCAAATAACATTTTTTCATTATTTAATACAGAGGCCCTGAGCAATCAAAATGTATTAACTAACCTAAAGGACTTGAAGAATCCTGTTTTTAATGTAATTCTGAATAGAAGTCCTATCCTCATAACTGAAGAGGTTATATTGGTGTTAATTCAAATATGCTCTCATGGGAAAAAAAAACTCTAATTACTTATAGCTGTGACATTTACCTTCCAAAGAGGCACTCTAATTAATGCAAATCTTAATGTACGTCTGAAAGGGCTGTAATAAGAGTACTAATTTCAGAAACCACTTACTGTTGTTTAAAACTGGAACACATTTAGTTCTTCCAGAAGAATGAGACCTCTGTCATTAAGTGCTGTGTCAACATTTTTGACATGTTAATCTCAAAAAATAATGTCTGATCATTGCCACATGTAGTACCAACTTATTGTAAACATGCAGGGAAAAGGTATATTCCCATGCGTGTACATGTATGCGCAATAAAGTTGTTGCTATGTTGTTTAGATAATATGCTATACAGGAATCTAGTTAATGTGAATACCATAGTGGGGAAAGTAGTATGTGAAATGATAGTAGTATATCTCGGTTAACATATAATTTTGGATTCTTCTCAATCATTCCTTCCTCAATACATGCAAACTTCCAGCTTTAAAACTCCAAATGGCAGTCATTTCTAGAAGAAATAATAAAATGATTAATTTTCTTGAATGTTAAGAAAAATGTATGCTGTAGTTCAATGGTTTTTTGGTTTTTTTTTTTTGAAAGATCAAATAACATTTTCATACAATTACTGGGGAGAAGCTACCTGGCTTTTGGAAAGGGTGTTACATGTTGCTGACAAACACTCTTTTGGAAGTCCATGCTCCGTTCACTAAGCAGATCAGCCTAAGATGGTTAGTACACACTGCCTGCGTTTCCAAAACATAAGGTCCCTCACCAAAGGATCTAAAAGAAAGCTGTTTTGAATTGAGAAGGACGGTCTTCTAATTTATGAGTAACTGTGAAAAGAAGAAAACAAAAGAAAGAGAATAAAAGGGGGAGAGAAGTCACTGGAGTGTGACTGCTGTGATCTGTGTGGCTCCATTTAATCATAGTAATGGGGCTAAAAACGAGGTGACAAAGTTGGTGGTGATGCTCTGCCACTCTGAAGTAGTAAAGGAAAGGGGTAAAAGTTGCAGAAAAATGAGTTTTGATAAAATGTGAAACATAAGAACCGTGGGAAAATAACCCTAAATTAACATTTACATGGGATCTGTTGAAACAGGGTAAATCTTTTCAGTTTGGAAAAAAGGTAATTGAAGGACGATCCAACAGAGACAACTTACTTCATGTATCAATGCAGGTTTCTCGACACTCTCTTTCTGTTTCAAATCTGTTGTTGGTGCCTTTACAGCCTCCATACCAGAACTGGGCACAAGAATTGCCGTTCTTGTCATAATACCATTTTACCACGTAGTCTCGGCAATCACCTGGTTTCATAGGTTCCAAACACTTTGGGTCTGAAAATATATCCATACAAGTTAGCTTGGAATTTAAGATGAGATGCATTTTTCCTACAAGTGCCTTCTTCAACAAGAAGAACACACCAGATGAACAAACAATGAGAAAAAAAATCTGTTAACTACATGATAGGAGGGAGTGGAGATTGCGGTTTGGTTGGTTTTGGTGCAGATTCCTGCTTTAGGAGCCAGTGCTTTCAATACCTGGTTTCTCTTCACTAGCTAGACTTTCTTCTTCAAAGCTGTGATGGGTGTTTTCTGCCCTCAGCAAGTTGAAGAGGCTGCCTGCTGTTTTTCTTTGGAGAAAGTGTGGGTTCTTAGAGAAATGTTGCCCTGGTCTTTGCCTTTTCCTCTGCTCTGTCTCAGTAAAAGGAACTTCAGCTTGGCTGCTTTGACTCACCCATCTCCCCTGTCCACACACCAATTCTGAGCACTGTGACCTTGTCATCTGTTCCAGACATCTGCTCTCTGAGAGGGACATCTGTGAATTCCTATTCTGCCTGAGGTTTCCAAGGGAAAACACTGTCCCTCCAATCACTTTTAGAAAGCCAAATCATTTAGAAATCATTTTCAGGGAGGAAGATTTGAAGGAGAATCTCTTTGGCGTCTTTATTTCTCTGCCTAAATTATCGTATATATCTCTTTGCTCATAGCACTGTGGAAAGCAACCGGCATTTAGGAAGGAAGATGAAGCCTTTGAAAAGGAAAAAAAAGTGGGAGCTAAACTATGTGTTTCACCACTACCAGAACAGGAGCATCACTCCACACCCACCTTCCCCATGCACTGAGGGCAGAATTTATTCCTCACCTTTTTGAGTTGTTACTACCTGTGGTTGCAGCACTGTTAGCTGGTGATCTTCAGCTGCAGTTACATTGAATATAGGGTGGACTGCTGGTCTCTGAGGTCTGATTTCAGCAGAGATGGTCACAGTATGATCCTGAGCTGATGGCAATGGCTCCGTATATCTGGTCCTCGGTGGACTAAACTAAAGGAAGGAGTCAATATCATGTAATTTAAGATGTATTTGGGCTCAGATCTCAAGAAAAAAAGAATAGAGAGATTTGTTGGTAAATAATGGTATTTTTCTCAGGTATTATTTAGCACTAGTCAGCTGGATTCAGACCTCCTTCTACTGAAGTATCTGCCTGCAGCTCTCCCTCCCTGCTCTGCCTGGCCCTTTCCCCTCTGTTCCCCAGCTCAGCTAAGCAGAGAACCTCCGTGGTGAGAGCATGGATCAAAAGCAGCCCCTGCTTGCTGTTCTTGCTTCAGCAAGCTCAGGAAATGACCCTGCCTTTACAACTGCATTTTCTGACACCAACTGAGAAGACAAAATAATGCCTTCCATTTAGTCAGTAAGCCAAATTAAATTCATTTTAGCAAAATTTCAGGTACCACTTAGTCTGCAAGACAAGTAAAACAAACAGGAAAAAAAATGTTAAGGACTTTTGGAGTGAGGAAGTGCTTACTAACATCTATTACCCTCACTAGGAATGATCGGGCATTTTAAGTCTGTCAAGAAATGGGAAAGGGCAGGCAGGAGGAACAGTACACTTGTTATATTATTAACAGAAAAAAACAGGCATGCGTTTTGCTCCTTCAGAGATTATTTTAGATGTTTTTGCCCCACTGCTGAAGGACTAAAACACCTAGAGAGTAGGTGACTGTGACAAGAAATGTTGCACTGGCAACCAGCTTGCACACAAGTAAGCGCCTTCTCACCACACATCTGACTGGAACGAGAATATCTGCAAGGTTTCCAACTCACTTTTAAGATGGATCAGATCTATGAAAAATGTGAAGGCCTGGTATTTATTGCAACTAAGATACAGTATTACCCTCTTTTTATTGTAAAATTGTAAGTTCTGCTCTTACTTTAAAAGCTTTGTTCCAACAAAAGAACACATTACTTGTACATTAAATGACTCACAAATAGTTCAATAAATAACTTATAAGTTTAAATAAAGATAGATCTCTCTAAAAACACTTGATGACTACTTTGCTTACTGGGTAAGTGTTTCCTTCTATACGGGGCACATTAGTCTCTGAAATAGCAATTGTAGGTAATTGACCATCAGTAACTTCACTTCCAGGATTTGAAGGTTGAGACAAAACATCAACTTTTCTGGTGTAGTGTTCAGATTCATTCTTACAGATTCTTGTGACAAGTTGATTTTCAAGTTCTAAAAGATTAACACAAAGATGAAGTTTGCTAAGTGTAATAAAGAAAAGTCACACCAATTCTCCACATGCTTTTGTACAGTATGAAACACAAATCTTTTATGATTGATAATGATTTTCAATATGCAGTCCAAAAAAAAATTGTGTCAAAATTGAAGTAAGAAATAATAAAGCAAAATATTCTCATCATTATTTAATTTTATGATGTCCTTGTTCATTTAGTAAGAGATAGATAAAATAACCCTTTCAATATCAAGTCATTTTTAAGCATAAGTCATTGATCAATGGGCTAGAAAAAAAGAGTGAGTGAATGAAGGTGTGTGTATATGTGATAAAGAGCAGCCAGCCTGCACACCCTGCTTGCTTACTCTCACAGGATTGTCAGTGAATGGCAAGACTTCTATGTTGGATGGGAGAGCTTGAGTTCAAACCCTAAATTTAATCCTAGCACAAGCTCAGCATAGTGAAATCAGTTTATGTTCAAAATAGTTGTATTTTAGAGCGTTACTCTATGATCAGCCTAGATCAACCCATTTTTCTCTTGGATCATTATAGGCTTTTCCTGGATTTTCTCTGATTCCAGCTGCGGTCACAGGATTTTTCAAGCCACAGTTTGAAATACCTAATTTGTTAGCAGACCCTTTTCCCTTTCTTATGTTCCTCTTCGACCTTTTCCCCTAGAACCAAGGCAAAAGAGTAGGTTTCTATACAACTTTTGGAAGAAGAAAAGAGAGTGCCAGAATAAGATCATGAAGGGAGAGCAAGACTGATAAAGAACAAGAGAAGCTGAAGAAATAGTTGCATCCAAAAAAGATACAAAAGCCAATATTCAGCAGGCCCCTGCTGACTGCCTCTCCTTGCTGTGGGAAGGCCAAACTCTGTAAGATACTTACTGGAAAGTCTTCTCCTACAGTTTCTCTTACCTGGAAGTGTCATGAAGTCATCTATAGGGTGTAAGTGTTCTGCATCGGGGTCACTGGCAATGAGCTGCATTTCTTTCAGAAAATCACTGTAATGAGGCTCAGTGCTCTGAGCAATCCCAATGACAAATATCTCAATGTTTGTGGCATGGGCCTCCCTTACTACAGTATCCAGTTGTACTTTGTCCCGAGTGTCTGCTTGTCCGTCTGTTATTACAACAGCCACTTTTCTTACTCCCGGACGTGCTGTCTCAAATAACCTAATGGCTTCTTGAATAGCAGAAGCTGTGTAGGTGCCTTCTCCTAGGTAGGGCATTTTATCCACAGCAGATTTTAGGTTTTCTTTGTTTGTGTATTGCTTAAGAGAAGAAACCAGCTCTACTTTATGGCTGAAGTTGATGATGCCAATACGTGTTGCGACATGGTTGGCCACTACTTTGTCAACGACTGTGTTCATAAAAGTTTTGATAATGTTGAAGTTATCTGGACCAACACTTTCTGAACTGTCAATGACAAATATTAGTTCCAGTGGTGTTATGCTACATCTGATACCACAACCTAGAAGAACAACCATTTGAGACATTTAATGAGGAAATAAGGACGATTGCAAGAATATCTTGCATTTAGCTGAAATAACAGATTTACAGTCAGTTAGGCTGAATTAATGAATTAACATAATATATAGTTACTGATACCGATAAATGGAAACAGAGCTGGACCAAACTAGTTCCAATAGAGCTCTGTTGACATAGTTATCATTTTTTAATTCCATTCAATGGTATCCTTACACACTAACATGCACAGGAAAAATTCATTTACAAATATAATTCAGCATTTTTTTTTGTGCTGGAATGCTTACCACATATTTCATTGATAAGTCTGATTACTTCTTCTCTCTGAAAAAGGATATTAATTAATATGCTGCATGTTCTGGTTTTAATAATGTTGGAATTTATTTATTTATTTATTTGCCTGCACAATGCAGGCAATGCCCCATAACGCACCTTGTGTAATGTGATCTAATATTAAAGTATTTTCAAAAAAAAAAAGAGTTCTAGCTTCAAATAAACTCATGTATATACTTACTGAAAGACCAGGTTCACCTTTTCTTCCCCAAATTCCCTGAAAGCATGTAGAGTAAGACAATTAGTACAGTACTAATTTACCTAATTTTTACTTTGTAAAAACAAGTAATATAAAACTCTATTTTACTTTTGGTCCTGGAGGTCCTGGGTCTCCAATCTCTCCTTTGGCACCTTTGATCCCTGGATCACCTTTATCTCCATAGTCTCCCTAATTTCAAACAGCAATATTAAACATAGTCAGTAAGCAAAGTCAAGTTTTTCTGGTAGTCAGAGCTGGAGTTTGGGTTCAGTTCATTTTTACAAATAATTTTCTTTTCTTTTTTTTTTTTTGTTGTGCTTGAGTTATCCTGTTTGAATTCCTAATGGAACATCTGGAAGCAGGATCAGAAAGAAAACATCACTGGGTATTTAAACACTGTAAATAATTTTCTATGAAAAATTACCTTGATTCAAGTGTGTGGGGTATAGACACCTTTATGCAGATGTCCAGATACATATAATGGTTTTCACCTCTTTGATTTTTTTGAATTCCACAAAATATTTATATTGGATCTATCTTAGGGCAAACCTATGAGGAAATTTTACTACTTAAATCAGCCAACGTAAAGAAACTCACACCAGCTTTGAAGGGTTTGAATTCTTTACCATGAAAGACTGGGAGCTCACACTTTGAAAATACCTTTAAATACATTTAAAAGCAAATTCTTCATTTTTTTTCCTTATTTGACCAGACTTTTTGATTTCAAAAAGAAGATAAAGTGTTCAACATTATTACATGTTAAGAGGCAATTTTCAGATGAGGCAGGTATGAAATATAAGGTCAAAACATTCAGGATCTACATTTGCTATTTCTTCAAGGAACAGGATTTTATTTCCTTCAGGAAATTATTGATCACCTTACATTTCACCTGAAATGTTAGACCTCAAAAATGTGACTAGGATGCTGGGAATTTTGCTATTATTCCTTGTTACTATTCAACCAATGGAACCGTATAGATATATCACTTGTTTCCACATGTACTATGGGGATTGCTATCATTTTTAAGAAAATCTACTAACTTCTCTGAGTCTCATCTTGCTCAGCTTGTATGAACATGAAAATTGTGTATAGCTACTGCAGAGCTAAGGAAATCACTAAGTAAGCTCTCAGCAGACACTGTTGTGTATCTATCTGATGTACTTTCACCAAATCATGATATCCAGCAAGAATATTTTTCTATTATCCCTCTGTAAACTGAACATAACCTCATCAAAATTAATGTCAGCATAAGGGAAAGCAATTTTGCTCTGCTGTCTGTGGTGGTGCTGCTACTTTCTTACACATATTTATGTTAAAATCTGTCTATGTGGCACTGCTTGAAATTTCTGCTGAGATAAACCATTCCTTTTTCCGCATGACAGGTCTGCTAAATTAAGAACATATAGAAAAATTGTAAGCATTTGAATGGATTGACACCAGGTCATAAAGACTAGCCAAGATAAAGGATGAATATGAAAAATAGTGAAAATATCACAATTGTCATTTTAGTGTGTAGCATTTTGCATCTGAGGGGAACTAGAATCAGAGGTCAAAAATGTAGATCTGTATTAGAGAGATTGATATTCCCTGTTTCATAAAAGCTGAAGGGGACCAAATCCTGTAGAATGAAAACCATGAAAACCATCGTGGGGTGGCCTAGCCCTGCCCCACAGGGAGCTCCAGAAGCATCAGCCCAGGAGCTCCCGACCTGCACAGCACCCGGACACCCGCTGGCCATTTGCCCTGGCTTCCTTCAGCCAAGCTGCTCCCAGCAGAGCTGCACACCCTAAAATCACTGATAAACAGCCAAGAATGCAAATTATATCTGCCCAGAGTTTCTAGGATGGGTGTAGATATACGCAGGATATGCTCTAGGAAATTGTCACAATTTTCCCATCAACCTGTTTAATATGCAGTAGGTTCGAGTTTCAGCTCCAATGACCGCAAAAAAATGGATCTAATGCAACAAAGCCTTTAAAAGACATTAAACGAAGGGTAAATTTTTGTTTGTCAAAGTCTGACAAATAATGGAACAACTTTTTGTAATACCTGAATAAAAGGCTCAAAATAATTGAATGCATGTTTTGATTTATATTATTTTCCTGCTAAGAGTTACGACTTCCTTCTACATCTTAGTTCAGAGGCTGATCCGGAATAATAATCGGGATTTTTATTAACTCCAAAGCTGACAAGTTTTAGTAAGCACTTATCTTGCTTGATAAGGCAAGGTGTTTGCCTTCTACTTATCTGCAAAAAACACTGTTGAATCAAATAGGCAACACAGAAAGAAAAATAAATACTTCTTCACTTATTGCAAACCTCAGATTTACCTTTGGTCCAGGAAGACCGATTCCTATTGAACCCTTTGGTCCAAGAAAACCTTGATTTCCTTTTTCTCCCTGAAAAGAATACGGAAAATAAGTTTAACTGAGAATTAAAATAACATCTATGTTATTTAACACTATGCTACTCACTTTATAACATGCTGCATGATAAGGAATAATATAATTCAGAATGTACATGAAGTTTTTTGATATATATCATGACAAAATTGTTCTTGATTAATGAAATGAAATGTCATTTCACTGGCACAGAAAAGTGAAAAATAACCTCACAGAGGTTCAGAGGCACCACCTGGTCTACAAAAGGAAAAAGAATAGGCTAAAATCTAACTAGTCATTTTTCTAGAAATACACATCCAGAAATCTCTGCAAGGTTGACCTATTTTTTTTTTCTGATCTTCACTAAGCAAATACAAGGAAATCTCTGTCCACAATGAGGAGAGTGGAACAACCTTCTGCTGCCACCTTAAAGGACAATATAAGTTCAGCCACAACATGAATTTGCTTGTTGAGTACACCCTGCTGTATTTACACAGATTTGAAAAACACTGTAATGCTAGTACCGTGAACATACATTCAACACGTTCTAAGATACAGCTGTTTCTTAGAAAAATACGTTTTTCAAGCTACAGCTTTTATCTGTGTGTATTGTTTCAAAATATAAAAAAAATCTGTCATAGCATGTGGGTACCAGAAACTGTCTTGTTTTCTTTAATATTGTAACACAAATACTTTTGTCAGATGAAAAGCTAAATACATTTTAAGCTCAACTAGAGGAAATTATGTTCTCCAGTACTTACATGCTTACTAAAGTTCACATTTTTTGTAGAATAACAGCACTGCTCTGCAGAGGCACCCAAAATAGCTCTAGAGAATGTAAATGAGAGATCAAGAGCAGCTATTGCCTGTACCAAATCCAGGCCATGAGACCTAGCCCATGAGATGCTAGCAAATCTGTGCAGCCCAGTACATAGTAAACATATATTTAATCTCTGTAATGCTGCCCCTGAAATAATGAAATATGGTTGGACTCTTTCAAGTTAAAAATATTTTGGTTTCTTATTGAGATGCAAGGTGGAAAATCTTTAGGTTCTTTCAAAATACTGCAATCCCTTAGATTTTGTTTCAGTAATATCGAAGACTCTCCTGCCTAGGTCCATGTGCATCAGTGCTTTTCTTTTTTCTCCATTAGTAGAGGGATAGCATTTATTTCTCATAACTAGACTGTATACAAGTAGTAAGTTCTTGAATTCAGAGATCACGCTGCTTAATTTGTTCTTTATCCTTCCACTGCCTCTTTCCATCTGAATCAAATTTAGTTGCAATTTTCAGTCAAGAGCTTCCAGACTGTCTCACCTTCTACCTCTCACTTCTACTATGAATCTTGTAGCTACTCTCGACTAGGCCTAGAGGGATTACACTGCTTATAATGGACAGAGAAATCTAAAATTACATCCCTAAATTTATCAAGAATCTGCCTTTACCAAAGGCGAAGCAGTTTGGGTGGACTGATGGCAGTTCACTCTGCTGTGTGGGGTAGGAGCTTGTGGACTCCACTGCAGGTGGAGGAACAGTTCCAGTGTGCAGAGTCAAGCAGACATTTTTCCTTCCAGATAATCAAGGCTTTCAGTTCCCAATGAGCTGGGAATCCAGCAGCTTGTTCGAAAAAGCAGGATGCAGCTTCTCATCAGGATGAGATATCACTAACCTCCTAAGCAGTAGCTCCAGCCCCCACTCAGTTGCTTACAGCTGCAAAAATCTAGCCACTATAGAGACTCTGGATACTGGAAAATAAATCATGCTGCAGTACATTATATAACTGATTCAGGAGAAAAAAATAGTAATTTCCTAGAAATACAAAATATTACTAAGGCAATGAGATGTCCAAGGCAATTTAGCTGGCACAGCTGTAGGAAAATACAGGGACTATTTTATTTAATGTATTCTGACTCACCTTTTAACACATTTGTGCTTTCTGGCTCCTTTATGTAGTTATTGCTACAAATTATCTTTAAACAGAGTGAAACACAGTGTGCCAGGCTGCATCAAAGCCCACTTTCCAGCACAGCAGCTGACCAGCCTTACTGCTAGAGTCACCAGAGCACTTCATTAATCCCCTAACAGAGCGGTAGAACACATATATGTGAAGTAGAATTAAAGTATGTTTTGTTTTCCTGTGATCCTCCACTGGTATCTTATGTCAGATACAACAAAATTATCCATCTATTGCTGTCATTTGTTAAAGCACGACTGAAAGTGTTAAAGTAGTGTTCAGGCAATGAAAATTGAATGAGACCGATTGTTCTAAAATAAAAATACCTATGCAGGAGGCATTTCTCATAGGTACACATCTGAGATTTGTCCTTTAAAAAGTCAACCATAGAACCAAATCCTGCTTCCTCTATTTGTGCAACAAGTCATGAACACAGATAAGATTTATCATAGAAGTAATAATGTAATGTTCAGTAAAAACGGGAAGTGCTTTTTTAGTTTTGAAGTATTAACTGCTTTGCCAGTTCAATCCACATAGATAATTCAGTTCAAACTTGATTATCAGCTTTAACTTAAAAATCAAAATGGTATATGTGTAAAAAGGTATAATGTGTGTAAAATGGTATGTGTGTAAAATGGTGTGTGTGTAAAAATCCTTGACCCTAATATCCTACTAGATTACTGATCAACATGCAGACTTGCGTAAAACTGTCTTTCTCTGAATTGACTGCAGATCTGAAAATGTCTAGACAGTGGTTTTGAGAGGAAACCAAACATAAAAAGGAATAGCTGTGAACATTTCTAGCAATATATTGTTGCTGGAAACCCATAACATTTTCTATATGTTGTTCTTAGCATATGCAGAGAGAGCACTATGTGTGTGTATATATATATATATATGTATAAAAAAGTGGCATGATACTAACAGTTCAAACCCAGGAGTATAGTAGTTTAAGATGATGAAGCATGGCCAAAAAGAAGGAAGCTTGGCATGGCCTTGAAGAGAGAAAGACAGGAGAGACAGATGCTCAAGTAAGCATCAGTGTATACAGGAAAATGGTACTAAAGAAGTAAGGCAGTTAGCAAAGTTAATAAGGAAGAAGTGGCTGTTAATAATTAATAAAAAGTAATAATAAAATAATAAAAATAAAGTAATAAAAAGTAAATTAATAATTAATAAAACAACAAGCATTTCTTAAGGAATGAAAATTTTAAGTAAAAGACTGTGCAATTCCTGTACTACTCCAGAAACAACAGCGGCTGAGTCTGATCCACCACCTCACTACAGTCACAGTTTCAGACTCAAAGACAAAGATCTTTTGGGTACAAAGCATGCCATTTTCTTAAATCTTTACATTCTACATTCTCTCACTGCAAAATGTATGAAAAGTAATTTATATTTCTGTAGCTATATATAGTTTGACTTATTTTGGCAAAACATGGTGGATCTCTATTACTGAGAGCAGTATATGAGCATCTGGAGTGAAAGAGAATGTTTTCTTAACACATAGTGTTTTAAATCTAAGCAAATCAATACAATAAGGCAGAGATGAGATTTTATTTTTCTTGTGGTTAACAATATTTGTAAAAGCAAGGACAATTCTCATTGATCTAGGAGGAACTCAACAGTTAATGTCACATACTTTACCAACAAGAAATTTTAATTTACAATGAATATTTGTGAATATTTGTAGAAGTAGAACTTACTTGCAAACAGAATTTACACAGAAAGTATGCAGGCAGGAAAAGAGACAATGAGTTTCTGTAAGAGAAAATTTTAAGAAGAAAGTATGGAGAGATATGATATCAAGCTGGGTTACCTTGTCTCCTTGTATGCTGTGCCCTGGGGGTCCTGGTGGACCTGGCAAGCCTTTCTGTCCCATAATACCCTACAGCAGTCAGTGGGGCAAATGCAGAAGAATTAGCAGGTAAACTTTATGCCTGGTAATTCTCAAATTCACTACAAGCAAAAATTAGAGTAAAGCCTTTTCAAAGACTGGTTCTAATCCTTCTTTTATTTATGGTTTCACACTGTGGATTGTTTTAATTATCCATGGCAAACTCCCAGGAAAGTAAAGAAGTAAAGTAGTTAAAAATAACGAAAAAATAAATAACAATCCTGAAACAGTGTGATATTTTGTCCTGTTTTGTAGTTGCCTGGGTAGAATAAATAGAAGCCATTTTTATACAATGGCTTGGTGCAGTCATTCCATGCAGGGGTAACTGACAGCAGAAGGGCAAAGGACCACAGCAATAAAGCCCAATGCAAGTAAATCTGCCATGCATGATGATCCTATACATCAGGTATATATTCAAAGTGACTGTAATGTCATGGTCTCTGGTAGCACCAGTCACTCAGGAAAGCAGAAGGTGGAGATGGAGAGTACAGTGAAAGAAACAGCTGCTGCAAAAAGACTCTTGAAAACATTTGAACATTTTGAATGAAGAAACTGAAGCATTTTGCTTCAATAGCATCAAAATGAAGTATTTATCATCTAAATTTGACCAAAAATTATAAAAGTTTCTGCAGACTTCATACTGGATTTTGCTTACTAACTGTTAATAAAAACTCACCCTACTTCAATACAGTAAATGTAATTCACTTGTATGTAAACTACACACATTTTGCATATGCTGAATATTTAGCCATATCTAGTCGTAAAGCCTAGCTATAATTGTGATTTTCATCCAGCCAGTACTCCTTCCTAAGCCAGTTGCTAGAAGCGTAAGAAGTGTAAGAGTTTATGTCCGATTCCTCCTGCAATTGCACCAAGGTGAATCAAGTAGTTGAAGAAGATGTTGTGGTACCAGGCAGTCCAGCAGCCAGAATCACAAAAGAACAGAAAGTTCCAAAATTGCATTGGACCAACCTTGGGACCAATCATTCCACTTCCCCTAGGTCCTGGGAGTCCCGGATAACCTTTCATGCCACGATCTCCCTAGAAATAATCATAATACTGTCAGTAATTTGATCACCTCCGAAGTATTATACCTTGCATCTGCTGAACAGATTACATATACATCCCTGGAAAAATCCAGTATGAAGCAATCAGTCAAACTATTGAGCTTAAAAAACAAATGTAACATAGATAAACAATCTATTTTCAGTTGCAGCATAAATAAAAAAAAAACCAAATGTGTGCATCCACATTACTTAAGCTCTTGGTAAAGAACACTGTATTCACAAGAAAAGGTCCATGTTTAAACTCACCAAAACATGACCATTATAATTTGCAACTTTATTGGTTACAGAAGAAAAAGGAAAGAAAGCTCATTTGGAAACCACATCACTCTTCTATCACATTCTGCAGGGTCTTGCCAGGTGGGCCTGGGGCTTACCAGTAAGGCACAACGGAAGCCGTGCCCTTGGACCCGTAGTGTACTTGTTCTCAAAGCAGAGATATTTAATTTCCAAAACTGACAAACTAATGAGATTATGAACATTTTATTTTAACATCATGGACATGAGAGAAGACAAATAACAACCCTGTCTTTGTTTTCATAAGAAGCCTTAATGGACGTTGAATTTATAAACACTTTTAGCTTGATTTTTTTAAGCGAATGAGGCTTGAGTGACACCATGTCTGTGTTTCTACTCATCCGTGTTGGTCCTTCCCTTCACTCCCCCAGTATATTTTGAATTTATCAGTTGATTAGTTGATTTCAGCCAAATTCATCAGAAAGATTGAGACCTTGAGGACAATCATTACCACAGTTTTGGTGAAAATTGGAGGCTGGATAAAGGAGAGAAATCCAAACTATGTTTTCAGAGAAAAAAAAAAAAAAGCAGAGAAGTCTGATCCGTCCACCCCCAGGCAGCTGCAAGGCAGCAGTCAGCTAGCCTGGGTTAACGGTGGGTAATGCTGAACCACATGCTGTCCTTCAGGCTGCAAAGAAGCCCAACGCAAGCAGGGAGGTATCGGGGACATTGGTGGGGGCTAGGCAAGGGGACACAAGAGGAAGCTTTGTTTCCCATACTCTCAAACCATGCAAACGAGGGAATCAGCACATAATCACTGGAAAACTCTCTTCGGTTTGAAAGGAAAAGCAAAGACTAGCAATGGAACCAGTTGCAGATGCACAAGATTCTGAATGAGGTTTAGTAAGAAAAGCTGTTAAGTATATGTTTATACAGGCTCATGCAAGAGAAACAAAGTGCTGATAAGGTATTATTCATACAAAATATTAATATCAGAGTCAAGAAAAGACTATATTTCTTGACAAAAAAAATGCAACGACAAAATCCAGTGAACCACTAAGATGTAAGTACACTTAATTCTAATTGGTTTTGTACTCAGGAAAGCTCAAAAACATGAACGTGCCTGCAGAGGGAGCACGTTAGCTGGAAAAGAAGTGCAATATGGATTACACAGAGCTCAGATGGAACTTGCCCATTTGCAGTGGGTTGCAAGAAACAACATATCAAACTGATTTAGCAGGAAGGAAAGTGCAGAAACTTTACTGAATTCAATTGTCACATTTTCACATTATAACCTAGTTTATAATGTGCTCTTAGATAAAATGCCCCAAATTCAACCTTTAATGATAGATCCCTAGCCTAAATTTTCTGTATATGACTACTCCCATTCACAACCACTGACATACGTGCTTTAGGCATGTCTATTTATGCATATTAGAGCCTACAATATGTTCAAATTTGACAGATTTGGAGATGTGAGAACTCTGAATCCAAGTGCTAGATTAACCTTTATAATATTCTTTTCTTATTGATGGAACATTTGGCTTCTGTTTTTATTTTCTATTCCCCTATCTCTCAAAACACTGGAGACTGGCCAGCTTGAGTCAGGACATAGGAATGATACATGGTTGCTCCAGGCCTTAAATTTGTGTGTCAAGCCCATAACCTGTGGGTTAAACTTATGACCAGATTCAGTCAGGAGGGAATTTCAGCCTCAGATTTGATCAGGAGAGGCTGGCGGGCTGTTTGTTTGTTTGGGTTTTGTTTTGTTTTGGAAAAGGGAGCTAAGGAGATGGCTAGTTTTCTTCTCAAGTATCTGAGATCATCTTCTTGTGATGACTTGAGATACATTGATTTTAAGACACTCCTAGCAGCTGTGAACTGTGAAGCAGCCTGTAAGCAACTGTGATGGAAGCTGAATGGGGAAGTATTAAAGAACTCAACAATTCCTGATGATCCGGTACCCGATACACCTGCACTTAGACCAGCTCTAAACAAAAAGAGTCCAAGGGTGGCTTGAAGCTACCTCTTTCTTCCCATGGGCAACATATGCTGGGTCTTATGCTGGATCATTCCGGGTGAAGGATTGAATTTTAGCCTCACATACTTAGCTAATACCATATATCTCACTGAAAAGATCTTTTGTAAAGCTCTAATAATTCTCAAAGTTTCCATATTTCTTGGCTTGGAGAAAAAAGACTTTCCTTATGCTTTGTGAGTTGCAAACTGGGTAAATTCTTGTTTCTAAGGTGTGACACTAAGTTGCCCTTCAGGGCCTTTGTTTCAAGCATTTAGCTATAAATCTGATAAGCTATAATTCATTTCCTAAATTGTGCTTGCAGATAAGTTCATCACCATCAGAAAAATAGTGAACTAGAAAAACATCACTGAAATGAACGCTGAAACAAGAAATAAAGAGCTGAGCCGAGACAGTGGAAAGCACAGGACTCCCACACCTGTTTCTTATCATCTCAGAGAAGTGAATCATTTCTTATCACATCAAGAAAACTCACTAAGTGACCTAAAGGTCACCTAAAAATAAACATATATATCTCATTTACTGTGAGGCTTGTATATTTGATACTGAAATGCACAGCAGACATAGTGGTACTCTCTTTACTGAGAGAGTGCTTCCCTCAATTGAGTTCAAGCAGACAGGACCCAAGCTGCAAAAGAAAGTTACCCTGTAGCTGGATCCAGCTCAAAGGTTCATGCTCTAGAGATACCCTAGCGGTTTTAATACTCCCTCTGTTGTCCAACTAGCGAGAATAAAGCTTTTGTTATTTCTAGCACCATGCTCCTATGGACATGAATGTCTATTGCCCACCTCCTAGATGGCACTAATGCATTTAGATCTTTTTTTTTTTTTTTTTTTTTAAGTTGTATTGAGACATTCTGTGCCCCTGTTTTAATGCTGCGGAAAATGGAGTGCCAACAGGACTGAATGCATCCCATGTTCTGATTTTGTTTTCAATTCCTATCAATTCCTATCTTGTAGTGCACACACATGTGAGCCATTTCTGAAAGTGAGGAGAACAGAGCTCTGATTGAGCTTAGTGGAATATTCTTATATAATGATACTCAAAGGAATTTCCAGTTGACTAATGTGTAAATTTATGTGTCTTTTTTATCAAAAAATATTATTTTTAAATTTACAGAATATATATTCTGTAAAATTATTGAGGCAGATATTAAAAATAAGGAAAAATTAAAGCTAACTGATCGGACTCGAAATATAGCAATAAACAGCAAACCATCTTTAACTGTATCTAGCTTTAGTGGGGTTTCAAGGAGACTTTTTTACCATGTATTATTTGTAATTTTTCACACTACAGACTGCTTAGGGGAATCTTCCTTCAGGACAACATAAGAAGAGCAATGTTTTCAAGGAGAGAAACTTGAAAGTCATGTCAGGTCATCAAATAAGATAATTTCACACTGTGATGCTGGCTCAAAGATTACAATCCCCAGAAATTTAAATCAGAATGTCATTGGGAATATAGACGTTTTCTTACTTTTGCATAAAGACTGTTGCAGCTCTCCTATAAGAATATCCTTTTCTAGTGTTCAAGAAGGGAATTGATAAATTGAAGAAATTTTAGAGAAGAGCCATGAAAATTGTTGAGGGGAGAATAGTTTCTGTAAAAAGATAAGTTGTTCAGTCAAAGTAGCTACTTAAAGAGAAATTGGTGGAGACAATTTTTAAGTTAGTAAACAAAAGATACAATAAGATTAATTAAAATAAATTTGAGTGAAACAAAACCAAAATGTGAATGAAAAGTTTTATTTTGTTTTGTTTTTTAACTGAAAGGAAACCACTATAATAGTTACAGTAAATTTTTTCACAACTGTTATTTTTTAAAAGATTTATGGCTGTGTTTCTGAAAAAATACATAGAAACAAATTTTAGGACACCATACAAAAGATCTGTAGCTTATATTTAAAAAAAATCAAAGCAGATCACAGGTTTCTTTTGTTCTTATAAATCAGGAATTAATGTAATCTGCTGGGACAGACATTTTTTCAGGTGCATACTCTGCCCGCATTTCTACATGAAAACTCTAATATCCTGGATCCTTTGGCCTATGGCAAATCTTTATATTTGCACCAAATTTGTGGCTAATTCAAGAAGTGGTTTGCATCTAACCTGGCAGAAAAGCCTACTGCAGTCTGTTCTTCTGACTGTTGTGGAAAGCAATAGATGAAATTGCAGCATTTTGTCATATATATAGCATCTAATCCACTTGTTTTTGGGGATGCTTTTCTACTATGTCTACTGCTCAGATGAATGTACAACATTATATTACTACCTTTGGTCCAGGATCTCCCACACCTCTTGGGCCTGGTGGTCCTGGAGGCCCCACTAGTCCTGGAGGTCCCTGGTACAATGGATGAATAAAAAAGCATGTTAGTAGTTGGTATAATGGAGTAGTAACCTCTGCTCTTCCATAGAAAAGACAGTTAATAGAAGCAGTTACTAACTCCTCCATTTCAGCTGTATTTTGTCAAAAATCTTTATACAACTGACACATACTGAGCAGCAGTACTAACAGATTAGCAGATCTAACCCATCCATGGTTCAGGGCCGGGTCATTGATACAAATTCATCTACTCAGTTTTAGCAATGATCACATGTTCTGCCTGATACAGTCCTTCCAGGCTTCCCATGACAACTTGGTCCTTCTCTCTGTCAGAAGCACACTGGTCAGTTGTCACTGGCTGTGTTATTTGGGCAGGATATGCTGTTTCCACCCTCCAGTTGTGTTCTCCTTGTCCTCTGCTGTGGAGGACACAGTGGGGAATAAAAGTCTTGAGAAAGAACCAAGTATCCCTAGTGAGCATAAGTGGTCATTTCCACCAGCTGGCCAAAAATGTACGTCTACAAGCATCCAACAGGACATAACTGAAATCAAAGACTGTAGATAAGATTTAGTCTAATGTTCCCTGAATTACACTCAACAAGATGCCCCTGGAGCAGGAGGCTGAACAAGGGAGGTCTCCCCATTTCAGTTCCGTCTCAAAAGAGACAGATGGCTGATTATGTGATGCATTCTAGGATACAAGGTTGTCCTAGCTGTGATTCAGGATCAGAATACGAATTGATGCTAATAACAAAATTGTCAAATTGCTTGGGTGGATGACTGAGATCTAGGGTGAGTGCTGATATGTCCTTGTAATGGAATTTGCCTGCTGGAATGTTCAAGCATTCACTCTTTCAGGAGCTAACCAGCAGGAAAACAAGCAGGGACAAATCTCCTAAAAAGAGGGTCTGATCTCCAGGACAAAAGGCAGCTGAGAAACCAAGGAAGTGAAGGCTCCAAGATTTGGTTAAACAGATCTTATTAGAAATCTTGAAGAGAGAATGACAAAAAGAAGGGGGTGGGAAGTGGGTTAGGGAGATTCAGAGCAGTGATTAGATTTAACACATGAACAAGGAGGCCATTAAGATGCTGATGGCAATACAGCATGGTGCTGAAAATGAAGGCAGTCCAATTTATGCCTAGTTTTCATTGCCTATAGCGCTGAGACTGTAATTAGGACAAAAAGGGCCTTCAAAAAGTATATGATACTTACATTGACTAAAGAGAAGCTTAAATGCATTTAGTTATCTCAAAATAGCAATGACCACTAAAAAAACTAAACTTTTTTTTTTTTTTTTTTTTTTTTTTTTTAGGAATTAAAGCACAAAATCTAACTATCAGCAAGGAAAAGAATAGAATTAAAATTATACTTACAACTTCACCTTTATGGCCATCTCCTTTTTCTCCACGTGCTCCAGGTGGTCCAGGTAACCCCTGGTTACCCTAAAGAGAAGATGGTCAGGCACTGTGCCAGTAACTGGATAATCAGTTATTACAATGACAAAACATGTATTTACAAATATCTGAGAAAATTATCTAAATTTTTTTTGGAAACACAGAATACCACTTTTTAGCTCTTGCAATTTGTTTGCCAATCTATAAATTTTAAAGCTTCTTTAATGCAGTTTCAGTTGCTAAAATTAAAATTTCAGAAGAGTAAGAAGTCTAAGTGAGTGAGACCAATTTTACACTTTCTTTATGTTAAATAATTCTAACATTTTGGATAAAATGAAAATGCTATTTCTTAAACATTTAGTAGCATTTGTTTATACAATAAAGGAAATCATGAATCATGAAATCATCTCTATTTTAATGTCAAATTCCAGTACAGTAAAGAACTGCCAAACAGATGTTCAGTCTTAGCAGACAACGTAAATACCAAATACATGTTAACACATTCTCTTCTACAAGAATTGGCTAGTTTTGGCATTAGTAATGCAGTTATTAATCCACTCAAGATTACTTGCCAAATATGTGATAAATCATAGTTCTGTAGTCCAGATTATTTAGCTACAACCAAAATATAGAAGAGATGGTCTGGGAATACTTCTATGAATAATGCCTCCCACAATTTCATGGGGTCAAGATAACACAACCACAGTGACTCACTGCACATCAACAAGGTAAGTAGCACTGTTGTCCTTCCAATAAGGAGGACCTCCTGAGAGAAGTTTCAGAAGTACCAAACTAGTTATTTAACTCATTTTGTGTTTCTTATTTGAAAAGATCAGATGTCTATTTTTTAGTTTTGCTCAACCTGGAATAATGGAAAAGTTGAAAAATTGGTTGGTTATGTTCCTGAGAAGTCGTGCAAGTGGTTTCTGCCGTCTACCAAGAGTTTTACATATATCCTGATTTTCTTTATGTTCCAGCTTTTGTCTCAAAGAAATCCTACCATTGGTCCCATTATTGATTTTCCAGGAAGTCCATCATCTCCTGGTGGTCCCCTGGGTCCCGGGTCCCCCTATTCAAACAGAAATCAATCCAAATATACATTTTTGTTATTCTCAAGTTTAACTAAAATTTTACAGAAAAGAAATAGTATTTAACTCTCTCTCACGATGACATGAAAATTTCTGAGATAGTGATTTCATCACTGATAGTTGTAGAAGTTTTTGCTACCTTAATTCTAGCCTCTCATACTTTTGCTTCTCAAGAGTGTCAAAAGGAGGAATAATTTGACAATTTTAACTTTCAAGTGAAGATTAAGCATTACGATTCAGTTTCAGTGGTGAGATTCACCATGGCTTCTGCCTGTCTTCATTAGCACAACTGACCACAGATTGGTGCAAGACTGGCCTAGCTGTTTCTGGCAGAGCACCTAGAAGACAGCAAAGACAGTTTGGTGACAAGTGATAGCACATCCAGACAGAGCCTACAAATGCAGTGCCTCAGCATTTCAAAGTTGCAAGCTCCATATATAATTTATGAAGACTCAGAAAGAAACTTTTTTTTTCCTCAAATATCTCAAATATTATCTGTTACAACTACTGCTGATTTCAGTTCTGCCAGAACCCTTTTCTGAAAAAAAAAAGAAAGAAAAAAAGAAAAAAAAAGAAAGAGGCTTAGATTTTTCCTTGTGCTATCCCTTTGGAGAGCAGAATTTTGGCTCCTTCTGGTGTTTAAGACAACAGCTATTTTCCTTTACATTAGGATCCTACAGAGAAACTTTCAATTTTCATTAGAATTAGTAAGATGGAAAGTCTGTATCTCAGGAACTATTCACTAGGGAATGAAAATCAAACATTCTATGAAAAGCAGCTGTAACCAGTGTTGCTGTCTTTATTTTATTAATAGCTTAATGGCTGTCAAGGGAAACAAAACTGTGGTCCCCAAGCGTGGGTGTAGCTTAAAATACATAAATTTCAAATGGAAATTTCAAATGGAACCATGGTTGTCCAGCAGTTTGACGTCTAGCAATCACCCACTGCTATACCAAATATTTAGAGGTACACTAGGAAGATTTCAGATCCTGAAAACAACCACTTTGAGCAACATGCTGATTCCCGACATTGGAAATTTAGTGTCTAGCCTCACTACTGCAGAGACAGGGATGTTCGTAGAACACAATTACTAGTACTAAACTTCCCAGAGCAGAGAGAGAAAATGAACCTCTCTAGTCTGTTGCACTACTGAGTGATAGTTTAAAAAAACAGAGATTCTTGCTTAAACAAAGAAATTATTCTGTAGCTAGAGACAAGCAGTTATATATTTCCTAAAAATCAACCTGCATAATTACCCGTGCAATTTGTTCTGTTGTATCAACCATTCACATAAAAGGCCTGATCAGTAAAGGACCTCCAGTAGATTTTGTATCATGGCTAAGCTACTATGAAAGTTACACAAATGATAATGACGTGAATAAAATTGAAGTGAAAAATGCAACCAAGTTTTCAAAACTCTTATTTTTCATCAAGAATTTTATCTGTGGACAATCTTGCCTGACACTCTTGTAATGTGTGTTACAAATGTTTCCATCTCTGATTTCCAGCAAGCGCATATCAGATAATCACCTTTGGTCCCGCAGGCCCCCGAATAGATGATCCGGTGACACCAGGCGGCCCCCTATCTCCAGGTTCGCCCTGTTATGAAAGTTTATCATCTAAATTTAAACATATAGTTACATTTCCAGCACAAGTAGCAAGGATTTTTTCCCAGAACTTTAATAATATAAGATAGCTAAACCTCTCCAGGGAAAAAAATAGACAATATTTTGGAAAAAAAAAAAAAAAAAAGTTTATTGCTCTTGCGGAAGTTGTTCCACCTTTCAAGTTTTAAATAACTATTGCTTGTATATTTGATTTTTAAGTTTAATTATTTCTTTTGTGTAGAGCTTACAAAGCCAAATGAATAATCTGAATGTTTGTATGATTTAAATTTTTCAGGAGATATAGGTGATACTTATTACACACACAAAGGCTTAATAGAAAGCTAGTGTTTCAAAATCAAATTTGCAAAATGTCATGGCTAAAGTCACAGGGACAACTTTATTTGAGCTTCTTCATGCTCAATTGCAACAGCAAATACTGGAATTATATGCTTGTCTATCCTTTTTCTTTCCAGGTGCATGTAATATTCAGGGCAAAGCATGAGAATATTTCTTTTTCTGTTTTCCTTTTCTTACTATGCAAGTCTCCAAGCATCACAGACCTGAGGAGACTGTAGTCTACAGAAATCTCATAGGTCTTGTATCAATTACAAAGCAAAGTTTGAAAGAGCAAGTTTACTTTTGGTCCTGCTGGGCCTTGTATTCCTTTATAACCAATTGGTCCTTGGGATCCTTTTTCTCCTGGGTCACCCTGATCAAGACAAAGCAAAGCTTTTGTTTAAATCACAAAAAAAAAAAAAAAAAACTTTCATTCAAAGGCAGGATATACACAAATTAGCAAAAAAAGACAACTACAATGAAGCCCAACAAAATACAACAAAAAAGGTGCTTAGATGTTTCCCTCCAACTGAAATCTCGTACAGTTTTAGAATGTCATAATGTCATAAATTTTACCAGGTGAGACAGAAAAGCATCTGTCTCTCTACTAATACATCTTTACTTTTTTTTTTTTATTTTATTAATATTCTTCCTTCCCTCCCTACTGGTACACTGAGGTAATCTGCTTCCTAACTTTAAAGAAAAATTCTATACTAATTTTTTTATAAAATCACAATTATCCAAATAAATTTTGTCCCTATGCTTATGACCTGGTTATCTTGCAATTCTTCAGGCTAAGGAATGCATTGCTGTGTCTCAAGGCCCTTTAAAATCATCAGTTAAGATATAATTACTTCTTTAAGATATAATGATGAAAAGATGAGAACTGAACTCTCATAAGCAGGAGCATAAAATACTGTAGTATTTCTCAAGCATGCATGTTAAGTCCTACCTTTTGGCCTACATCTCCTTTGCCAGGGAGTCCTTCTGGGCCTCTCAGACCTTGATCTCCCTTTTCTCCCTAACAGAGATTATATGGTTAATGAATTTTCATTTAATTATTTTTATTTAATCAATTCACAAATGAACTATTTCAAACTGTTTGTTTCTGAGAAACAAAGCTTGCACCAATACTTGTCCCAAAAATATAATATTAAAAAGTTTGCCATTTTTTCTGCAAAAAAAGAAAATATTAAGAATGAAAAAATACTACAATTTTCCATATTCTTAACCCCTCCTGCATTCATATTCTTTATTTCTACAAACATCTCTACTAATGCCAACTGCAGATTTATCTTTTCCAGGAAGAATGTCATGCATATACTCATATGAAGAAGAGAAATATTTGCAAAGTGATCACAACAGATCTTATGTGGGCCAATTCTGAGACAAATGATTCTTAAGAAACAACAATTTTATGCAAAAAGCCAATCCAGGCTGCAAACATTTGCCACTGGCATGACTTCACATAGTTCACATATTGTATTTAGGAAAATTATCTATCAAATAATTGGGAATAAGGTCAAAAAGATTGGCATCAGAATGTTTCCCGAAATTGGAAAGGAGATTATAATTAATTCTAAACTGCTTGAGGTGTTCTCTTTTCCTCTCCTCTAAACTCTTTCCACCATTTTAAAACTATGACTTCTTTTCCCCATCATGGAGGAGTTTCTCTTCAAATATTAGAATTTCCTTTAGCAATAACCAGCACAGGTTTTAACTGCCTGCAACAATTTCTGTACCAGGTTGACAGCCTTCAGTCAGAGCTCACAATCCAGATAGTTGCCTCAGGTCACACTAATTTGACCACAACCTCTTGGCAGACTCTAAGTAATAAAGACAAATCTGCTGACCAAGGGTATCTTGAAATTTAGTGGCAGTCAATAGCCCAAAAAAGACAGGAGAGATGGCATAGTTGCTGATTTACACATTAGCCCCTAAACTTAATTTTTTTGGAAAACTTTGTCTCAATTAACATATTCCCTCTTCTTGACCAAACTATAAGCATGTGTCTCCTCCCCGGACGAACGCCTTGCCACTGCATACCTGCAAACCCATACAAACTAAATTAGGTCTTCTTCCATCTACAGCTTTTACATGCAGTATATTAAATCACATTACCTTTTTCCCCACCTTCCCAAGTTCTCCCTTCACTCCTTTCTCTCCTGGGGGTCCTGATGGACCTATATTTCCCTTGGAAAAGAACAGATAATTATATTGCATCCCTCAGTAAGTTATTCTATTCTGTACAATGGATTAGAATACTAATGTCATACAGTATTTTTGCTGTTATTCCAAGTTAAATATGCTATATAGTTAGTAACGTTTTCTAATCAATCTAAAATATACATTTTAAAATTCTTCCTTGGTTTTGTATTATACAAATTTACATTTATTTGGCAAGTAAAGACACATGATTAAATGTTGTTTGTTTCTCTATATTCAAGAACAATATGACAAGAATGCCATTTATTTGCAAAGTTCATCTTCTGGATCTTGGGGAATGGTCAGCCTAACTTGCCTGTCCAATCTAATCAATTTTCTTATGCATTTTTATTATAGTCCTTGGCTTATCTGACCACATATCTTCTGTCTTATTCACTGCATGAATAGGACAAACTAGTTAAGTGTTTGTACCATAAATAAAGTTGTTGGCTGCAGGGATACTTGCTTCATAAACTGGTCTAGGCATTACTTTTAAGACAGGCATTGCCAGAAAAAAAGTTGAAATCGTCCATAGGAACTCTCTTAAAACAAAACGTCCTTCTCATTTTACCCTGTTACTTTGGAAATCCTACTTGAAACACCAGGACCTGGTCTGCAGCCTTCAAAAGTACAGCTAAAGTTAATTTAAGCTGTAAGTCATCACCTCTAACACATGGGTGATGTAGCCACCACTGTCACACAAACTGAGTTTGTTGAGTTTGTACAGAGGAATAGAGGTAGCAACAGCCTTTATAACAGGTCTTAGACATATGTCATTATCTTAGGAAACACGAGGACAAACTCTCTCCCTGTTATGGCTGCCAAAATGATTTTCAGAGAGAGGGTGAGAGCTCTAGCACAGCAATATGTGTTTAAAGGATAAAACTGTGGAGTTAGAGCAAGATCTGTCACCGAAACCTCTCCTTATTTTGATCATGGTCAATTTATACAGAAACAAAACAAAACAAACAAACACTTCTATCTAGTTTATCAGCAATCTGGGAAAGAAGGTTAGAAGCAGTAACAGTTGAAACAGTTGAAAAAAAAGGCTCACCTTAAATCCTGGTACTCCAATTCCCGGAAGTCCTGGTTCTCCTTTTTGTCCAGGTTCACCTGGTTGACCCTAATAAGAAAGAAATCTTCTGTTTGGTAAAGAAAACAAAATCCAAAAGAAAAATCAGACTTTCTGTTCTGAATTTGAACATAATATAGATATGGCATAAAAGTCACTTGATAAGGACACTTCTGAAAGATATCTTGTTTGTAAATTTGTGTTCATTCAGCACCTAAAATCCACACTCGCAAAGCTGATGGGCTGGAAGTTAAGCAGAAGCCATAGGCTGCATTTGGGGAACCCCTCAGTAACACTGGGTCTTTCTCATCGAAGATCAAAGCTGAACTGCTACCTCCAGTTCAGTGAATATTTTCATCTCATCAATACACACTCTTGAAAAGTCTGGCAAAGATATGTTGCTTCTTGCTGCCTTCTACTGATTGTTGATTCTTGCTATGTTTTTTTTAAATCATGTCTGAACCTTTACCTTTGGACCTGGCAGACCAAAACCTTTAGATCCTTTTACCCCAGGGTTTCCTTGTGGACCCTGTATACCCTAAAAAACAGAATATAGAAGTTAATACAATATATGCTTCCACTCTTGAAATTCAGCATGCATTTGGGACATCTCATTTATTCCTAGGTAAATTATTGTGCAGATTAGATCCAATTTCTAAAACCCAATTTCTTGATTCTAATACCATTCAGATCAATTGGGATAATTTATATCAGCAATCCTTGGCTAAAAAAAACTTGATACTTTTTAAAATGAAAATTGCTGTGAGATTTATAATGTCTCCACTTCAGAATTGGAGATTTGATCAAATTAAAAAACAAAAACTGCATGCACATATTCATCATATCACTAAAGTAAAGATCCTGATCTTTTTTCTTTCAAAGTCAATGGGAAAAATATTTTCCTTTAGGAGAGCACTAGGGCCCACACACCCATCCTTGTCATCCCTTAGGGCTATGGAAATAGAAGGACACATTTAGATTTAGAACTGTTTCTCATAAACAGGAGATGCAGTCTGGAGTCTATCTGATGAAATTCACCACATGTTGCTGCTATTGCCAATAAAACAAAACATTAATTCTGAAATGCAATAACTGGAATTAACTTAAATAAGACAAATCATCCTCATCTCTCTGATGATGGTGAAACTTTAGAGGGAGTACTGTGTCCAGTCTTTCTTGGGTTGCTTTATGAAAAACTATATGAAACTGTAGATTTTACACTAGAACTAATTAATTTAAGAGTGGCACAGATGCCTGACTCAGCCCATGCCAGCCAGCTTTTTCATATCTGCAGCTGAATGTCTGTCCTTGACTTAAACTTACCTGGCTTCCTGGATGGCCTATTCCTGGAGGTCCTGCTGGGCCCTGTGGTCCCACTTGCCCTTGTTCACCCTACATAAAAAATTCTGTAAGTGGTCCAGAGAGCTAAATTGCAATAGTCCATGTTAGCTGATTAACATATTTAAACTAAACACAGATGTCTTATCTTGAAATGTGCTACTTCAATTTGATTTAAATGAGTTTTGAATAACCGCGTGTCTACATAGCTGAAATAGTAAGAAAATAATACACTTTTCTACAAAGTGTATCTCATTTTAAAAATATGTATCTTATATGTAACTTTATACCTGTACCTGATTTACAACACAGCTATAGCATCATTAGTAAAAGGATTTGTAGTTTATCTTTACTAACTGAGATTTTAATGTAAAGATTTTCTTCTACCTAGGTACATAGTTTTTTTGCACAATACTCAGAAGAAAAACTTGTGTAGCCTCTATCTACTACGTAATACTTCTGGAATTAAAGTAGTCCTAAAGTAGGACTCAGAAAAAAATCAGGCACCTGAATATCTGTCTTTTAGTCACTCCTGAAAACTTCCAAAATTTTCTGCTACTGTCAAGCAGAAAAGCTGGAAAGGTGAAGACCTTTAGGTTCTTATAATTGTCATGAAAATGGCCAGCCTCATATAGAAGAGAAGCTACGCACATTAAAGGGTGAGGAGAGCTAAGTATTTTATGTGTGCTTGTACATGGAGGCCCTGTGGAGCACTTGGCTGGGAAATGGCATTCTGGTGGAGAGATTACAAGGGCCAAAAGGGTCACAGATCCATGAAGGTGTCAGGGATGTATGACAGCAATCCCTAAGAAAAAAAATATCATTTCCACTTATTCCAACCACTAATGTTCTCAAACACTTACTGTCCTGATCCTGGCTGATTGTTTCCTACACAGACCTGTGAATAGGACTGCTCATTCCTGCGCAGATAAAATATCTTCCCATATCTAAGGCCTTGAGCAAGATTGTTTGGCAGGTACTCACTAACTGTGCCTCTCACAGATAGACCAAATCACAGCACCTAGCTTGCTCTGAAGATCTTGGAGGCTCTTTGGTTGGAGAGTAAGATGGGTAAGTTCCTACATCTGAGAAGAATGACTGAGTTGTTGGTATTTTGGAGGGGAGTGCTATTCCTCTCATCCTGCTG